TTACATTGGTGGTCAGGGGGAAGAATGCTCCTTACATTGGTGATCATTGGGAAGAATGTCCCTTACATTGGTGGTCAGTGGGAAGAATGCCCCTTACATTGGTGATCAGTGGGAAGAATGCTCCTTACATTGGTGGTCAGTGGGAAGAATGCTCCTTATACTGGTGGTCAGTGGGAAGAATGTCCCTTACATTGGTGGTCAGGGGGAAGAATGCTCCTTGCATTGGTGATCATTGGGAAGAATGTTCCTTACATTGGTGGTCAGTGGGAAGAATGTCCCTTACATTGGTGGTCAGTGGGAAGAATGCTCCTTACATTGGTGATCAGTGGGAAGAATGCTCCTTACATTGGTGGTCAGTGGGAAGAATGTCCCTTACATTGGTGGTCAGTGGGAAGAATGCTCCTTACATTGGTGGTCAGTGGGAAGAATGCCCCTTACATTGGTGGTCAGTGGGAAGAATGCCCCTTACATTGGTGATCAGTGGGAAGAATGCTCCTTACATTGGGGGTCAGTGGGAAGAATGCCCCTTACATTGGTGGTCAGTGGGAAGAATGCCCCTTACATTGGTGATCAGTGGGAAGAATGCTCCTTACATTGGGGGTCAGTGGGAAGCTTATATATGCTTACAAAGATCACTGGTTTTATAGGTTTTCTAAAAGTCAGAAATTTCTGAATGCTCCAGGAACCCCTAGCAACCTCCGAAGGAACCCTGGTTGAGAAAGGCTGCTCTAAGGGCTCATTCACACCAGCAGGCATGTGACGAGTTGCATATAGTGCACACATACCGGTGTACATTTTCCCTGAGAATTTTCATGTATTACTACAATGCATCACATTTTAAATAAAAAAAGTAGTATAAAGAAAAAGGTGTGGTGTAAAAAGCATCTTGGGGTTTAATCAATAATTTTTGCATATTAATTCTTCAGTGTCCCCTTTAGGGGCTCCGGGCTGTAGCCAGTGGGAGTAGAAAATGCCCCAGCATTAGTGCCCCATCATTGTTTCTAATGGGAGGAATAGTGCCCCATTGTTGATATCAGTGAGGAGAATAGTGCCCCATTAATGGTGTCAGTAGGGGGAATGCTGCTCCATCATTGGTATCAGTGGGAGGAATAGTGCCCCATCATTGGTGTCAGTGGGAGGAATAATGCCCCATCATTGGTATCAGTGGGAGGAATAGTGCCCCATCATTGGTATCAGTGGGAGGAATAGTGCCCATTCATTGGTGTCAGTGGGAGGAATAGTGCCCCATCATTGGTGTCAGTGGGAGGAATAGTGCCCCATCATTGGTGTCAGTGGGAGGAATAGTGCCCCATCATTGGTGTCATCAGTGGGAGGAATAGTGCCCCATCATTGGTATCAGTGGGGAGGAAATAGTGCCCCATCATTGGTGTCAGTGGGAGGAATAGTGCCCCATCATTGGTATTAGTGGGAGGAATAGTGCCCCATCATTGGTGTCAGTGGGAGGAATAGTGCCCCATCATTGGTATCAGTGGGAGGAATAGTGCCCCATCATTGGTGTCAGTGGAGGAATAGTGCCCCATCATTGGTGTCAGTGGAGGAATAGTGCCCCATCATTGGTGTTCAGTGGGAGGAATAGTGCCCCATCATTGGTGTCAGTGGGAGGAATAGTGCCCCATCATTGGTGTCAGTGTGGGAGGAATAGTGCCCCATCATTGGTGTCAGTGGGGAGGAATAGTGCCCCATCATTGGTCAGTGGGAGGAATAGTGCCCCATCATTGGTGTCAGTGGGAGGAATAGTGCCCCATCATTGGTGTCAGTGGGAGGAATAGTGCCCCATCATTGGTGTCAGTGGGGGAGGAATAGTGCCCCATCATTGGTGTCAGTGGGAGGAATAGTGCCCCATCATTGGTGTCAGTGGGAGGAATAGTGCCCCATCATTGGTGTCAGTGGGAGGAATAGTGCCCCATCATTGGTGTCAGTGGGAGGAATATAGCCCCATCATTGGTATCAGTGGGAGGAATAGTGCCCCATCATTGGTATCAGTGGGAGGAATAGTGCCCCATCATTGGTGTCAGTGGGAGGAATAGTGCCCCCATCATTGGTATCAGTGGGAGGAATAGTGCCCCATCATTGGTATCAGTGGGAGGAATAGTGATTGGTATCAGTGGAGGAATAGTGCCCCATCATTGGTATCAGTGGGAGGAATAGTGCCCCATCATTGGTATCAGTGGAGGAATAATGCCCCATCATTGGTGTCAGTGGAGGAATAGTGCCCCATCATTGGTATCAGTGGAGGAATAGTGGAGGAATAATCCCATCATTGGTATCAGTGGGAGGAATAGTGCCCCATCATTGGTATCAGTGGAGGTGCCCCATCATTGGTGTCAGTGGGAGGAATAGTGCCCCATCATTGGTATCAGTGGAGGAATAGTCCCATCATTGGTATCATTAGTGCCCCATCATTGGTATCAGTGGGAGGAATAGTGCCCATCATTGGTCATTGGTGTTGTCAGTGGAGGAATAGTGCATCCATCATTGGTGTCAGTGGAGGAATAGTGCCCCATCATTGGTGTCAGTGGAGGAATAGTGCCCCATCATTGGTGTCAGTGGAGGAATAGTGCCCCATCATTGGTATCAGTGGAGGAATAGTGCCCCATCATTGGTGTCAGTGGAGGAATAGTGCCCCATCATTGGTGTCAGTGGAGGAATAGTGCCCCATCATTGGTATCAGTGGAGGAATAGTGCCCCATCATTGTATCATAGTGCCCCATCATTGGTATCAGTGGAGGAATAGTGCCCCATCATTGGTATCAGTGGGAGGAATAGTGCCCCATCATTGGTGTCAGTGGAGGAATAGTGCCCCATCATTGGTGTCAGTGGAGGAATAGTGCCCCATAGACCAGATAAAGATAAGTAAAGAGCCATATCCGCCCCCCGGGCTGCAGTTTGGAGACCACTGATGTGTACAGTCAATTCACTGAACATGACAAATACTGCAAGAACAGCTAATTGCAGTGCAGCTGATATTTTTCTTCTATTTTTGTGCCAAAACAATCCCTTCTTGGCCTCATTGTTTTCCTTACAGTGATAAAAACAATCAGTACAACTCCCTATTCTAACCAATCGTTATCAGATCTCATTATCATCACAGTCGGGTGTTAGTTGGCCTCTAAGAGCTTAGAAATAACTGCTGTGTCTGCATTAAAGTCTTCCAACATTCTTTCCTCCATAGAAAATAAAAGGGGCATAAGAAGTGGTTTTAGTGCTGATGTGAATTATGAAGATGAATTTCTCCGCAATACTTACAGCTACAGAGTACTTTCCCCGATCGTTCAGAATGTGTAAATACATTATTGCGTATAGTCTACACAATTCGGTTCATTCCGAAATTTTCATTATTCTGAGATTCGGATGTGTCCGCATTTCCGAATTACAATGGTAACAAATTTAAATGAATCCAAAATAATGAAACAAAATTTTTGTCTGAAATATGAATTGTTTGAACAGAATTCAAAACAAATTTCAAAATTAATTTGAGTTTGAAAATAAATTCGATATGTAAACATATTCCTGACTATTGCTGGTTTCCTTCAAAGACAGTGTGTATTAGTAATAGAATGTGGCCGTCTTCTAAAATTCGAATTTCGAAAATAGAATAGAATGAAATAGAATAGAATAGAACAGAATGGAAATAAAAGAATAAAATAGAATACTGATATTGTGGTGTGGGGGGCAGGGGCGGACTGACAACTCATGGGGCCCCTGGGCAATAGGGGATCATGGGCCCCTGTATCCTCGCCCACACTCAAACCACACCGAAAAAAGCCTATGAAAGGTACCAGGGGCATCTCATGGGGCCCCCCTACTGACCCCGTGCCCTCAGGCAGTGCCTGAGTTCCAAAATGGTCAGTTGGGGGTTTATTCAGACTTGTAAAGTTACTGAAAGCTCCACATTAAAACACAAAACCTCACAAAAATGTAGCATGTCCTACGTTTTGTGTTCTAAGATGTAGCAGACAGATGTCCACTGACCACGCAGGAAATTCTACTATAAAGAGGAATGAACCCCAAAACCAATAATGTAATATATGGCAGCTTACCGATCATTAGATGAGCTGGCTGCATTAGTTTTCTTTTTTAGGCTTTTTTGCCTGCTGTTTTCACCTGGTGATCTGGCCAGTAACACACGGCCTGTATTAGAGCGCCCCCTCTCTGGAGGAAGGAGCACAGGTGACACCTTTGGACAGCAGCATTGTTAGTCTGGGGGAGGAGGAGTATTAGATGTACTAGCAGATCTAAATGCACTAACAACTTAAAACCAAACTCCAGCTAATATTTTATAAACAGTTACAACAAACTGTTTTTTTTCTTCCTTTTGGGATAAAGGTTTTACAAAAATAAAGAAAAGCTGATCATTGTAGACACCCCTGTCAGCAGTAAATTGATTGTCTCAACCCTCCAACTGCTATATCTGCAGCACAGCTTGTTCTGTTCAAAAACAACAGACTTGCTGGCCAGATGACCTGGTGAAAATAAAGAAAAGAAAGCCTAAAAAAAGAAAACTAATGCAGTCATCTACAATATAATAAACATTTGCTTTGGGTTTACCCATTTGCCCACCCTCTCACAGTAAATGTACTGCAAGCGGGCGCCAGGTGCAGGCACAGCAACGTACATGTATGTTGCCGGCTTTCTTCTGAGTTCGGGGAATGCACATGTGCGATCGAACACAGTATGAGTTTGCCTGAAACCTGCTGATCAGCTGTATCCAATCACAGCACAGAGTTCTGTGTTTACAAATACCCAGCCCGTGCCCCCTCCCCCGACTTCTCCATCAAGATCAATAACACAACCATCAGTCCCTCCCCTCATGCCAGGGTACTGGGTGTAATCCTAGACTCCCATCTGTCCTTTCAGCCCCAAATCCAATCGCTGTCCAAATCTTGTAGACATCTCCAAGATACGGCCGTTCCTAACCCCAGAAACCACTAAGCAAACTTATTCCCTCCCTTGTTATATCTCGCCTTGACTATTGTAACTCCCTCCTCATTGGCCGACCTCATCACAGGCTATCCCCTCTTCAGTCTATCATGAATGCTGCTGTCAGACTCATCCACCTTACTAACCGTTCTGTATCTGCCACTCCTCTCTGCCAATCCCTCCACTGGCCTCCATTCAGTGTCCTCCACCCCTCTATGCCAATCCCTCCACTGGCCTCCACTCAGTGTCCTCCACCCCTCTCTGCCAATCCTTCCACTGACCTCCACTAGGTGTCCTCCATCCCTCTCTGCCAATCCCTCCACTGACCTCCACTCAGTGTCCTCCATCCCTCTCTACCAATCACTCCACTCAGTGTCCTCCACTCAGTGTCCTCCACCCCTCTCTGCCAATCCCTCCACTGTCCTCCACTCAGTGTCCTCCACCCCTCTCTGCCAATCCCTCCACTGTCCTCCACTCAGTGTCCTCCACCCCTCTCTGTCAATCCCTCCACTAGTCTCCACTCAGTGTCCTCCACCCCTCTCTACCAATCACTCCACTCAGTGTCCTCCACTCAGTGTCCTCCACCCCTCTCTGCCAATCCCTCCACTGTCCTCCACTCAGTGTCCTCCACCCCTCTCTGCCAATCCCTCTACTGTCCTCCACTCAGTGTCCTCCACCCCTCTCTGCCAATCCCTCCACTGGCCTCCAATTAGTGTCCTCCACTCCTCTCTGCCAATCCCTCCACTGGCCTCCACTCAGTGTCCTCCACCCCTCTCTGCCAATCCCTCCACTGTCCTCCACTCAGTGTCCTCCACCCCTCTCTGCCAATCCCTCCACTGGCCTCCAATCAGTGTCCTCCACTCCTCTCTGCCAATCCCTCCACTGGCCTCCACTCAGTGTCCTCCACCCCTCTCTGCCAATCCCTTCACTGGCCTCCACTTATTGTCCTCCACCCCTCTCTGTCAATCCCTCCACTGGCCTCTAATCAGTGTCCTCCATCCCTGTCTGCCAATCCCTCCACTGGCTTTCCGTTGCACAACGGATAAAATTCAATTTCATTAACAATCACATATAAAGCCATTTATAACTGTGCCCCAAACCGTCTTCTCCGCTCCTCCCATGACCTCCTACTCTCTAGCTCCCTTGTCTCCTCCTCCCATGCTCATCTCCAGGACTTCTCCAGAGCCTCCCCCATCCTCTGGAACTCTCTATCCCAATTTATCAGACTATCGCCTACTGTGCTCACTGTTAGGTGATCTCTGAAAACCTATCTCTTCAGGGAAGCCTATCCTGCCCTCAGCTAATAACAGAATCTTCTATTCCACCTACCAGTCCATCCCCCACAGTTAATACCTTTTGTATCACTAGCCCCTCCCTCTTAGATTGTAAGCTCCCAGGATCAGGCCCTCCTATCCCTCTTGTATTGAACTGTATTGTTGCTGTATTGTCTCCCTTATATTGTAAAGCTCTGAGCAAACTGTTGGCGCTATATAAATCCTGTATAATAATAATAATATATAAATCCTGTATAATAATTATATATAAATCCTGTATAATAATAATAATATATAAATCCTGTATAATAATAATATATAAATCCTGTATAATAATAATATATATAAATCCTGTATAATAATAATAATATATAAATCCTGTATAATAATAATATATATAAATCCTGTATAATAATAATAATATATAAATCATGTATAATAATAATAATATATAAATCCTGTATAATAATAATATATATAAATCCTGTATAATAATAATAATATATAAATCCTGTATAATAATAATATATATATAAATCCTGTATAATAATAATAATATATAAATCCTGTATAATAATAATAATATATATAAATCCTGTATAATAATAATAATATATAAATCCTGTATAATAATAATGATAATAATACACAGAACAGCGATCAGGCTGTTTCTGCTCCCTGAAAAGCAGTCAGATCTGTGAGTAAACGAAGCACATATTCAAGGTACACAGTTAACCCCTTGATGTCAACCCCCTCCTAGCCAATGACATTAGTTCAGTGTCCAGTGTAAAGTATTACCCCTGTATTAGTGTCACTAGTCAATGTCAATGTCAGTTAGTCAATAAGTGTCGCTCCCAGCCAGTGTCAGCGCCAGATTGCCCGCCATCACAGCCCCGCTAAACATCGCTGATCAAATAGACAACTTATTGGGATTTTTTTTTTGCCCAAGACATATAACAGAATACATTTTGGCCTAAATTTATGAAGATTAGTTATGTAACAGAAAGTTTTTTTTGTTTTGTTTATGTAATAAAAAATTTTTTAAAAAAGCAATGGTGATCAAATACCATCGAAATAAACAAAACTATATATATATTTTATTTAGCACACTGCTAAATAGCATATAATGCCCTGGTCATGAAGGGGGTAAAACTTTCCAGAGGTCAGGTAGTTAAGGAGTTACTAAACCCACAATAGTACAATCAGTCTGTATATGCAGTAAAGCATGCTTGTTATACTCACTGTGGAACGCTACATTGTGTAAAAAGAGTGTTTGATCCTGTCTTCTCTGATCCTCCCCCTTCTTCTACTGTCTCCAATCCATCTGTTGATAAAACAGAGCCTTGGGGGCAAGCTGCACATGCTCAGTTTGGTGTGTATTGCTAGAGTTTTATCTTTTTCTTGGGAGGGTGCATGTGATCAGCACAGGGCCAATCAGCTCTGTCCAGACAGAGGGTCAGGGGTCATGCAGCTTCATAGGACAGTCAGAGCAGAAAGAAATCTCCTCCTACAAGCTTTAACCAGTGCTCTGCTGGATACTGATAGAAGCCACAAGACTGCTCTAACTGCTGATGAGAAAAGGTATTTAGCAGTTTATAATTACTAAAAATAATTGCATTTCCATGTTGTGTGTTCTGTGGGAGACCAGATATAGTGAATGCAGGGTCCGGGGAGAGCAGATATAGTGAATGCAGGGTCCAGGGAGGGCGGATATAGTGAATGCGGGGTCCGGGGAGACCAGATATAGTGAATGCAGGGTCCGGGGGAGACCGGATATAGTGAATGCAGGGTCCGGGGAGACCAGATATAATGAATGCAGGGTCCGGGGGAGACCAGATATAGTGAATGCAGGGTCCGGGGAGAGCGGATATAGTGAATGCAGGGTCCGGGGAGAGTGGATATAGTGAATGCCGGGTCCGGGGAGACCGGATATAGTGAATGCAGGGTCCGGGGAGAGTGGATATAGTGAATGCAGGGTCTGGGGAGACCGGATATAGTGAATGCAGGATCTGGGGGAGACCGGATATAGTGAATGCAGGGTCTGGGGAGACCGGATATAGTGAATGCAGGATCTGGGGAGACCAGATATAGTGAATGCAGGGTCCGGGGAGACCGGATATAGTGAATGCAGGGTCTGGGGAGACCAGATATAGTGAATGCAGGGTCCAGGGAGACCGGATATAGTGAATGCAGGGTCTGGGGAGACCAGATATAGTGAATGCAGGGTCCGGGGAGAGTGGATATAGTGAATGCAGGATCCTGGGAGACCGAATTATAGTGAATGCAGGGTCCGGGGAGAGCGGATATAGTGAATGCAGGATCCTGGGGAGACCGGATATAGTGAATGCAGGGTCCAGGGAGACCGGATATAGTGAATGCAGGGTCCAGGGAGAGCGGATATAGTGAATGCAGGGTTCGGGGGAGACCGGATATAGTGAATGCAGGGTCTGGGGAGACCAGATACAGTGAATGCAGGGTCCAGGGAGAGTGGATATAGTGAATGCAGGGTCCAGGGAGAGCGGATATAGTGAATGCAGGGTCTGGGGAGAGCGGATATAGTGAATGCAGGGTCCGGGGAGAGCGGATATAGTGAATGCAGGGTCCGGGGGGAGAGCGGATATAGTGAATGCAGGGTCTGGGGAGAGCGGATATAGTGAATGCAGGGTCTGGGGAGACCGGATATAGTGAATGCAGGGTCCGGGGAGAGCGGATATAGTGAATGCAGGGTCCGGGGAGAGAGCGGATATAGTGAATGCAGGGTCCGGGGAGACCAGATATAGTGAATGCAGGGTCTGGGGAGAGCGGATATAGTGAATGCAGGGTCCGGGGAGAGCGGGATATAGTGAATGCAGGGTCCGGGGAGAGCAGAGAATGCAGGGTCCGGGGAGAGCGGATATAGTGAATGCAGGGTCCGGGGAGAGCGGATATAGTGAATGCAGGGTCCGGGGAGAGAGCGGATATAGTGAATGCAGGGTCCGGGGGAGAGCGGATATAGTGAATGCAGGGTCTGGGGAGAGCGGATATAGTGAATGCAGGGTCCGGGGAGAGCGGATATAGTGAATGCAGGGTCCGGGGAGAGCGGATATAGTGAATGCAGGGTCCGGGGTTTAGTAACACTTTAAAGCAGACTTCCAGCTGTTTTTGTGTTTATTAAAAGTCAGCAGCTACAAAACTGTACCTGCTGACTTTTTAATAAACACACACATACCTGTCCCGGGGTCCAGCAATGTGCTCACCCGTGCCGTTCCTTTTCTCCCTCTTCTCTCTCCAGCGCCGGCATCTCAGCTGTGGGCATCGGGCTGCGACAGCTTGGGGCTTCACATCCGGGTGCTCACTGCGCATCCTGATTGTCTTCTGTCCCAGTGAAAGTTCCTAGGAGACTGCGGGAGGAAGGAGGAGGCTGAACTTACAGCTCATTTCGCCGCAGCGAACTGAATCTGGAGTGGGATCCGGTACCTGTCAAAACCAGGTATCCACTCCCCCCCAAAGGGTGCCAAATATGGCAGTGGAGGGGGGAGAGGCAAACAAGTGAAGCTTCCACTTTAGGCACCTCTAGGCATGTGTTGGTTATGTACACACTTACCCTAGTTTCACAACTAAGCATTTCTGCCGCGTTTTGCATTTTTCAGAAACGCAGTACAGTCCATCTAACATGATTTCTACGGCACATGTTCATATGACGTCCTCCCAAAATGAGCCCTCCAGCGCGCCCCCGGGGGCAAGCACCCGGCGATCTCCGTAATTGCTGTATCCTACGGACACAGCTGATCACGTGATGTGGTAAAAGGCCAATCACAGCAGCCTTTTACCATGTGATCAGCCGTGTCCAATGACACAGCAGATCACCGGTAAATGCAGTTGCCGGTTATCAGCTGCACTTTCCTCACGCTGTCACAGCATGAGAAAAGTACTGCCGATAACCGGCAATTGTCAGAGGAGGGATCAGCACCGATCATCAGTGCCCTGATGATCAGTGCCCATCAGTGCCACCCACCAGTGCCGCCCACAAGTGCCCGTCAGTGCCCCACCCACCAGTGCCGCCCACAAGTGCCCATCAGTACCACCCACCAGTTCTGCCCAGCAGTGCCACCAGTCAGTACCCAGCAGTGCCGCCAGTTAGTTCCACCCATCAGTGCCACCTATCAGTGCCCATCAGTGCCCATCATTGTTGCATATCAGTGCCAGCTCATCGGTGCCTCCTATCAGTGCTGCCTATCAGTGCCC